GATGAAACCAGGGGTGGAGACCCAGCTACTGGAATCAATCCAGAAGCTGGGCCGGGCTGTCAACCTTTGCCAGGAACTTGGAAGTGGGACATGAGACTGGCTCAATCTTGTGTCCGGTTACCTTTAGACACTGGCCCAGTGAGGTCACGTGAGCATGGGGGCTGTGCTTTGGGGCCTGTGTGATGATGAATGAGCAAAAGCACTGATCAGATGTGCAGAGAGAAGCAGAGGCAGGAAAGAACAAGAATGATGAAGCAGCTGCCTTAGTTTCTGACAACTTCCCAGCCTCCAGTTCCAGGCCCTGGAGAGGTGTACTTTTACCTCTCGCTCTTCAGTCCCATGAGGCACATCTAATTCTTTAAAGCCAATTTCCCTGAATCTTCTTGCCTGATGGTCAAAAATCAAACAAACAAATTTCCCTCCAACAGAAACAAGCTTGACAGGGTTTATGTTTCTTGCAAACAATCTCTAAGATTACATAATTTTAACACTAAAATACATATTACAAAGCAAACTGTAAAATTCACAAGAATATTAAAAATTAAGAAGGAAATCCTTTCTAAAACAAGATTCAAAAAAGCAAAAGTCACAAAGGAAAAGAAAAATGTGACTCCAAAACAATTTGAACTGTGCATTATAAGACCTGATACCAGTTTAGGTAAACATTCCCCCAGCCACTCCCATTCCCCCACTGATAATATATTTTCCATGAGAACATACATTGGGAAGCACGTACATTTCCATAGCAATTACCTCTGGGGAGAATATAGGGACTGAGATAGTTGTTCATAGGCCTTGTCTGTTACGTTTTAAATTTCTTATTAAAAATTATGCCCTGGCCGAGCATGATGGCTCACGCCTGTAATCCTAACATTTTCAAAGGCCAAGGTGGACAGATCGCTTGAGCCCAGGAGTTCAAGACCAGCCAGGCAATGTGCTGAAACCCCATCCCTACAAAAAATATAAAAATTAACCAGGCACACCAGGTGTGGTGGCTCACGCCTGTAATCCTAGCACTTTGGGAGGCCGAGGCGGGTAGATCATGAGGTCAGGAGATTGAGACCATCCTGGCTAACACAATGAAACCTCGTCTCTACAAAAAAAAAAAATACACACAAAAAATTAACCGGGCATGGTGGCATGTGCCTGTAGTCCCAGCTACTCGGGAGACTGAGGCAGGAGAATCACTTGAACCCAGGAGGCGGAGGTTGCAGTGAGCCAAGATTGCGCCATTGCACTCCAGCCTGGGCTACACAGTGAAACTCCATCTCAAAAAAAAAAAAAAAAAAAATTAACCAGGCGCCTGTAATCCTAGCTACTCAGGAGGCTGAGGTGGGAAAATCACCTGAGCCCGGGAGGCTGAGGCTGTGATAAGTCATGATTGTGCCACTGCACTCCAGCCTGGGTGACAGAGTAAGACCCTGTCTCAAAAAATAAAATAATAATAAATTGTGCTGCTTGTCAAATTAAAATTTTATTTTAAAATTTCAAAAAATATATACAAAACAAGCCTTTGAAGACCTCCTATTTGTGGCAGACTGCTTCATCTGACACCTACTCAGGGGGCGGGTATGTGTCCACTAGCAGTTTGAGGCACACAAAATAGTATGAATTCTTAGCTTTGGTCAAAATGGCTTACTTGGTTCCCAATATGCACTCTTCCCACAAGACTCTGAAATCACCCCCCTTGTCCTCTCCGCTAAATGGGGTTCATCTATCCTTCCACCTGGAAGTATCACCTCCTCCAGGAACTTCTCCCACATTGCACGAGTCCTTACTGCTCTCTCCCTCTCCTGCTCTACTTGCCTCTTATGGCATTCACTGTACCCTTCTCTGGGGACTCAGGACAAACTCCTGGGGTTCTTACTGATCTCCCTGTAACAGGCTGCTTCTCCCTAGTCAGTCAGCACATCAAAGCAGCATCTTTATGTCCTTAGCGTCCTTTATGTCCGTTGAGATGGCATAGAGAGCTGGCCAGAGCCCAGGCAGAGCACAGCAGAGTCAGAGAGACCCACTATGTGACACAGGGCAGCTGCCTTCACTGCCCTAGACCCGGTTTCACCTGTTGTTGTGAATATCAATGACATCATGGGCATAAAGGGGCCCAAGACAGGAAGAGGCTGGTTGACGTAATGACTATCTTAACATACTCCCTCACAGTTGCACGCTGTTTCATAATTTAACACAAAAAACTTTAACAACCCAGTAAGGTAAGCAGGGAGTGATTAAGAGATCCATTTTAAGGATAAAATAACGAGGTTCAGAGAAGGTACACAGGGAGGACAGACAGATGGACTTTAAAAGGCAAGAGAACAGGACCAGGGGTAAAACACGTGGGTAGAAATGCTAATTTTCCCACTATCCAGCTGCAAGAGCTTGGACAAGTCTCTTGGCCTCTCTGGACTTCAGTTTCTCCATCTTATCTGGGAGACTTTCTAGCTGGTCTCTATCTTGAAAGGGTCCCTCAACCCTGACATCCTAGTTTCCTGTGATCTGCCCAGGGTCCTTCCCAGGAGGACTGTACAAAAGGGCTGCAAGTCCCAGGACAGGGTCCCTAGTTACTCCCAGGAAACCAGCCAGAACTGGAAGACTTGACTTAAGAATCAGTTGCGTTTTGATTCGGTCAAGTAGAGCTTCAAGCCTGGGGGTGGGTTAGTCATGCCCAGAACTGGGGGAAAAAATTGCAGCATCAAACTACATGTAAACACAATATAATCGCAAAATATAAATGCCAATGCAAAACCAAACAGGAAACCTCAGGGAAGTCTAATCCAAAGGTCAGACTCTAACTTTTGGGGCCCTGAAATGCTGAAGAGAAAAACTGTGTTTGGGGGCCACAAGCCTTTTTGTTGGAACCTCTGCGTGCACCAAACCAAAAATCTGAAGGCAAAGGAGTATGGGTTTTGTCTTGCCTGAACTGGGACAAAGCTGAGCCCTGAACAGAGCCTGCTGTGGCCTCTAGACCCATTCTAAGGGCCCCTCCCCAACACACACAGTGCTGACACTTACACTTACATAAATGGGCATTTCTGTCCATGGATAAGGTTCATATTGGAGCCCCTTCTCCTGCTCTAAGATTCTAATGAACAACCTGGGCAGAAGGATGAACCATGAAACCCCTAAGAATGCAGACGGCACTGAGCTCTTCTGAGTCGTGAAATGTAAGGCTATGAAGACAAACCTCAGGAAGCTCTCCAAAGGATGGGCTGGACAGCAGTGTTTCCCTGTGAGCCCCACAGTAAAATATAACCCACATCCACAGGCAGTAGACTCCAAGCTACTGGCTCTGCCCAAGGAAGGAAGCCAAAGCTGACCAGCTGCTTATTTTAATAAAACATGTACTCCCACTATGTGCAAAGTAGTAGGCTAGGCTCTGTGAGACAAATGAGACATGGCTAGGCTCTGTGAGACAAATGAAGACAAAAGAGACCCAATCACTGTCTAAAGAGATCTGCCAATTAAACTGATGATAATCATTCCATTTATCAAGAAGCACGGGCCAGCGCAGTGACTCACGTCTATAATCCTAACACTTTGAGCGGCTAAGGCGGATAGATTGCCTGAGCTCAGGAGTTCAAGAACAGCCTGACCAACATGGTGAAACCCCGTCTCTACTAAAAATACAAATATTAGCCGGGTGTGGTGGTGGGCGCCTGTAATTCCAGCCGCTTGGGAGGCTGAGGAATGAAAACTGCTTGAACCCGGGAGGCAGAGATTGCAGTCAGCCGAGATCGCACCACTGCACTCCAGCCTGAGAGACGGAGCGAGACTCTGTCTCTAAAAAAAAAGATGCATGCTTTATATGCATTGTCTCATGTGAGGTACACATTATTACCCCCATTCCACAGATGACAGAACAGGTCACATGCCCACGTTCACCCAAATCGCAAATTGCAGAGCCAGCGTCTGAAAAAAGGTCTGCCTTCCCCAAAGTCGATGCTCCTTCCACAATCCTCTATCACCCTCACAAAGTGATACAACCAGACTCCGAGATGGAGGGCCAGCCTGCCAAGAGAGAAGAGAAGGAGAGATTTCCCGACACTGGTGCAGGGTGTTATGAACTACTGAGCTTTGTATCTGCCCCACAGTGGGTGCCTAGTACACTTAGGGTGAAGGGTGGAAGGGTTGCTGAGGTCCAAAATGCCACCCAAATTCAGGGCATCCTTTGGACGGGGAGCTGTAAAAATTCAGGGCATCGTTTGGATGGGGGCTGTAAAAACACATTATCCTTTGGATGGGGAGCTGTAAAAACACATTATTCTCCGTTGGACCAAGGCCACGGGGTGTCTGTCCTAGAATATTCCTTGCAGAGGAGCTGGGGAAAGTTGCAGCAGGTTCGGAGAAGAGGAATGGAAGGAACTCCGAAGCGCATGGGAATGGGGTGGGGCAGCCTGCAAGGCCGAAAGAAAAGGCCTGGGACGCTTTGCTGGGAAAGACAAAGAGGAGAGGGGAGGGGAGAGGAGACGATAAACTTGCCAACAGCCGGGCCAAGGTGAACCCCGGCTCCTGGCGCCTTCCCATCCGCATTCATTCCACAAACGCGGGCCAAATCTCCGAACCAGCCGCAAGGGGGAGAGGGCCTCCTTGCAGCCCGGGGAAAGTTAGTTCAGGACTGAGGCGGGAAGCCTGCTTCTCAGAAGAGGAGTGACTCGGGGGTCACACTTGTGGGGCTCCGAAGATGAAAGCGCAAACTGCGGCTGGAAGGCGCTAGGCAAACACATATGTGATAAGGTGGTCACGCGGGGCACTTGGGGTACGTCCCCCGACCTGTGGAGTCTGTCATCGAAGTGACCTCGAGGCCCCCCAAAACGGTCCCTTGGGCCTCTCCCCGCCTCGACGGTAAGGACGCAGCTGTTGGAGATGCGCTCTGTCCTCCCAGACCTAGGGAGGGGGCAGGTTTCGGGGCGCGGTGAAGGGCCGTCGCAGCTCGGGTCACGCCTGTGGAGGTCAAAGCCAGGCCCGGCGCCGACCCCCGACCCCTCCCGCCTCGGCCCCCTTACCTCCTCCCGCGCCAGCGCCGCCCCCCGGCACCGGGGCATCTTGGCGGCGAAGGCAGCCGCCCCATCCGGGGAGCTGAGGTCTTCCGCGGTGACGGCCAGGAACTCGGCGACGCTGAACTGCTCAGGCATGGCGGGCGCGGGCGTGGGGCTGCCGGAGCGGGGCGCGGGGGGCACTGCGCTGCTCCGCGCTCAGCCGGCCTCACTGCCTGCCGGGGGCGCAGTCCCGGCCTCCGCACGCCCCGCCCCTCCGCAAGCCCCGCCCCCGCCCCCGCCCCTCCAGCCGCTCTCCGATCCTCAGCTGGGACGGCCCCGCCCCCGGCCCTTCGCCGGCCTCCACGGCCACAGTCCGCGCCCCGGCCCCAGTACCCGCCCCGCGCCGCCTCAGGCCGCACCCCCGGGCCCTCGCCAGCCCCCTCGGCCCCGCCCCCAGCCCCTCACGGCCTCAGACCCCGCCCCCTGGCTCGATGCCCCGCCCCTGGCCTCAGTCGAAACTCCTCCGCCTTCTCCCGTCCCTGCCCCTCCAAGGCACAGTGTCCTTTCATCCGCTCTGGGTCTTCCAAATTCTCCTCCCTTGCACCGCCCAGGCTGCCCCATCGCCGCGCCCAGTCTTAGAGCCCCCTGCCTCTTCCTCCCTCCTCTGCTGATTCGTTCCGAGTTCCCCATGACCTCGCCCCTTCTTCCCTATCCAAACCCACCCTCCCCTCTTTTCTCCCCAGCCCCGCCCAATCTCCTTGCCTCGCTCCGCCCCGAATCGCCCCACCCCTCCCTTGCTGCTTACGTCCAGCTCTCAGCCTAAGCTCTGCAAGCATCCAGGGATTCCCTTCTGATAACCCCCGCCGCCCCGGGGATGTGTGGCTCGGGGCGTGTGACTTGGGGAAAATTACTTCTCTTCTCGAAACCTCAGTTTCCGTATCTGTACAATGGGAAGCTTGACGCCCGCTTGCTTGTGATGTTGCGAAGAACCGAACACGTGCGTGTACCAGTTCCCTCTTACCAGACCATCGATCGCACCCTCGCCTTTACTCTTCCTGCTCTTGCCTTTCGCTCCTTAACCTGGCTCACCATCCTTTGGGGCGGATGACGGATGGGGTTCAGGTTAGAAATCCACTTAGGTTTAGTTTTGAAGCCTGAGGTCCTCTGAGGGAAAGTTATCCAAGTAAAAAACTAGGAAAGCACCGCGGCAAGGAACATTGGTTTTGAAGTCAGAGGAACCTAGATTCCAATCTTGGTTACTTTGGATAAATTACCTGCTTCTCTAAGCCTGAATTTCCCCCTCTTAAAATGGCCTCATGGTATTTTACCCCACAGGGCGGCGATTTAGAGAATCTTTTCTTTTCTCGCACAGAAAAGGAAAGAAAAAAAAAGAAAAAACCCGGAAAGATATGCACTAAAATGTTACTAGCTGAAGACATTATGAGTAATTTGTTTTCTTTTGGTGAATCTGTATATCCTAACTTTTATACAATGACCATATACTACTGTGTAATAGAATTAAAAGTTGACGGGCGCGGTGGCTCACTCCTGTAATCTTAGCACTTTGGGAAGCCGAGGTGAGTGGATCGTTCAGGAGGAGTTCAAGGTCAGCCTGAGCAACATGGTGAAACCTTGTCTCTACAAAATATACAAAAATTAGCCCTGCTGCGTGGTGGCTCTTGCCTGTAGTCCCAGCTACTTGGTGGGCTGAGGCAGGAAAAATGACTTTAACCTGGGAGGTTAAGGAGGCAGTGAGCTGAGATTGTGCCATTGCACTCCAGCCTGGGTGACAAAGTGAGACCCTGTCTGAAAGAAAGAAAGAAAGAAAGAAAGAAAGAAAGAAAGAAAGAAAGAATTAAAAGTTGAAAAAAAAATGTGTACCATCTGATAGAGAAGACAACTATTCCAACAGTTCCTTTCAAGGTCAACTCTTGAAACCAAACAGGCACTTTTCTTGTTATTTATTTTTAGAGACGAGGTCCCAATCTGTCGCCCAGGCTGAAGTACAATGCAATGATCATAGCTCACAGCAGCCTCAAACTCCTGGACTCAGGCACTTTTCTTGCTTGACTTCTAGGAGCACCTGACAATGTTAACCACTCCCTTCTTGAAACACCCTTGCCCCTGAATCCTAGGAGAACTATTTTACTTGGTGGCCCTCCTTCCTCTGGCTGCTCCAAGAGCCCTTTCTGAGATGCGCTTCCTCCGCAGGAATCCTAAATGCTGGAGTCGTTGGGAGCTCTCTGCTAAATCCTCTGCGTGTCTCACCCTGTCAGCCTTCCTGGATTTCCTCATCCAAGCCCAATGGTAATGTTGATGTCTTCTGTACTAGTTTCCTGTTGCTGCTATAACAAATCACCACTAACTTCCTTCAGCCTCCCAAGTAGCTGGGATTACAGGCATGTGCCACCACACCCAGCTAATTTTTGTATTTTTTAGTAGAGACGGGGTTTCGCCATGTTGGCCAGGCTGGTCTCAAACTCCTGAGCTCAGGTGATCCCCCCCACCTTGGCATCCCAAAGTGCTGGGATTACAGACATGAGCCACCGCACCTGGCCACATTTATTCTTTTACATTTCTGGAGGTCACAAGTCTGAAATGACTTTCACTGGGCTAAAACCAAGGTGTCAGCGGGGCTGTACTCCCTCTGGATGCTATAAGGGAGCATCTGTTTTCTTGCTTTTCCAGCTTTAAGAGCTGTATTTTTTGCATTCTTTGGCTTACGGCACCTTCCACCTTCAAGGGCAGCAGTATCTTCAAGCATCTTACTTGCCTTCTTCCCTGTGGTCAAATTCTCCCAGCCTCCCCACCCCTCTTCTTTTTGTTTTTTGAGACGGAGTTTCACTCTTGTTGTTGCCCAGGCTAAAGTGCAATGGTGCGATCTCAACTTACCACAACCTCCGCCTCCCGGGTTCAAGCGATTCTCCTGCCTCAGCCTCCAGAGTAACTGGGATTACAGGCATGCGCCGCTACGCCCAGCTAATTTTGTATGTTTAGTAGAGATGGGGTTTCTCAGTGTTGATCAGGCTGGTCTCAAACTCCTGACCTCAGGAGATCCGCCCGCCTCGGCCTCCCAAAGTTCTGGGATTACAGGCGTGAGCCACGGCGCCCGGCTCCCTCTTTTTTTTTTTTTTTTCTTTTGAGACAGGGTCTTGTTCTGTCACTCTAAGCACTGGAGTAATCACATCTCACTGAAGTCTCAACCTCCTGGGCTTTTGCAATCCTCCCACCTCAGCCTCCCAAGTAGCTGGGACTGCAGGTGCATGACACCATACCCAGCTAATTCAACCTCTTTCTCTCTCTCTTTTTTTAAGACATGATCTTGCTCTGTCGCCCAGGCTGGAGTACAGTGGTATGATCTCAGCTCACTGCAACCTCTGCCTCCCAGGTTCAATGGATTTCTGTGCCTCAGCCTCCCGAGTAGCTGGAATTACAGGCACATGCCACCACACCTGGCTAATATTTTATTTTTTATTTTTATTTTTATTTTTTGTATTTTTAGTAGAGACAGAGTTTCACCATGTTGGCCAGGCTGGTCTCGAACTCCTGACCTCAAGTGGTCCGCCCACCTGGACCTCCCAAAGTGCTCAGCCTCCCTTTTATAAGGACATTTGTGATTATATCTAGGGCCTATCCAAATAATCCAGGATAATCTCCCTATCTCAAAATCCTTAATTTAATCACATCTGCAAAGTTTCTTTTGCTGTATAAGTGCCATTTACAGGTTCCATGGATTAGGACCTGGATATCTTTGGGAGCCATTACTGAGCCAACCACATCTTCCAAGGCTGTATTTCCAGCCTGGACTCTTTAGTTCAAGATTTATGTATCCAACTGCCTGTGAGACAGTTTCATTTCACCGTCTCACAGACAGACACCTCAAACTCTACAGTTCCAAAACTGAACTCACCATCTCGTACGCCCACCCCTTGCACCAGATTGTTTTCTGTCCCTGTCTTGATGGAAGGCACCACCATGCGCCCCCTTGGAGTCATCCTCTCCTCCCTTCTTCTACCAAGCTCCCCTCAAACAAGTCTTGTCACTAGTCTCACCAGTGAGACCACCTTCTCCATCTGCAGGCCACCCCCAGTCCAGACCACCGCCACCTCTCACTTCCTCGCTGGTCTCCCTGCCCCTAATCTTGCATATCTGTTCTGTTGCTCCTCTGCTTAGAACTCTTCAGTGTTCTGCCGTTGCTCTCTGAATAAAAGCCAAACTTCTTTTCGTGGATGTCTAGCCCTGCACGGTCTTGCTGCTCCTGCCATTCACAGACTGATCTCTCACTTCTTTGTCCCCACTATGATTGAGCCCCTGCACTGTTCTCCCCTCTGTCTATAATGCTCTCCCACCTCCTTTCAGCTGGCCAACTTAGATGTCAATTCCTCCAAGAACCCTTCCTTGACGTCCTTACTCTGGACTCCTACAGGACCCAGTATCCCCCACCACAGCAATTACCACTGTGGACTGTAATCATCTGTTTCCTTATCTGGGGCTCTGGCACACTTATTTATTTATTGAGCATTTACTATGTACTAGTCACAGGGCCAAGGGCTATACAAGCAATAGCTCACTCAACACCACTCAATGCTCACAGCAGCCCTATGAGGTAGGTGACGTTACGCTTCCCATCTCAGTGAAATGAAAGCTCAGAGAGATTAATTTGTATAAACTCAGAATGAACAAGTAATATCACCAGGTTTCCATCCCAGGTCTGCATGACTTCAAAGCCTTTTTTGTTTTGTTTTATTGTTATTATTTTGAGACAGGGTCTCACTTTGTCACCTGGGCTGGAGTGCAGTGGCATGATCATGGCTCACTATAGTCTAAACCTCCTGGGCTCAAGGGGTGCTCCCATATCAGCCACCCAAGTACCTGGGACCACAGATGCGTGCCACCACACTGGGCTAACTTTTAATTTTTATATGGAGGTCAAGGAACAGGGGTCTCACTTTGGTCTCGAACTCTTGGGCTCAAGTGATCCTCCCTCCTTAGCCTCCCAAAGTGCTGGAATTATAGGTCTAAGCCACTGAGCCTGGCCATTCTCTCTCGCTCTCTCTTTTTTTTTTTTTTTTGAGACGGAGTCTTGCTCTGTCGCCCGAGCTGGAGTGCAGTGGCCGGATCTCAGCTCACTGCAAGCTCCGCCTCCCGGGTTTACGCCATTCTCCTGCCTCAGCCTCCCGAGTAGCTGGGACTACAGGCACCAGCCACCTCGCCCGGCTAGCTTTTTGTATTTTTTAGTAGAGACGGGGTTTCACCATGTTAGCCAGGATGGTCTCGAAC